GAGGAGGAGAGGGAATCAAAGCCTCTTCTGTTCTTGGGAAAGAGGTAGGAAGAAAAAATCCCGCGACTCCCTGTGGTCATCATTTTTTAGACAATGTAATAGCAACAGCGAACGTGAGTGTTACATCGCCAGTAATTAGAATTTTGTTTCATCATTATGATTTCTTGAAATCACCCAACTATACAACAAACATTCAGTGATAAAGAATGTTCAACCCTAAAAATAAAATGCCTATAATTAAAAAAGCTGAGCTAATTTATCCGGAAGTTTCTTTTTTTTCCGCTAGGTGAAAAAAAGAAGACATGAAGAGCTCTTTGTCATCAGTAAGAATAGAAAGTGTAAGTTTTCTAATAGAACGCGTCCTTTTTTTCGCCCTGTGAAAGCATGACGGCTTCCTCTTCTCTGAATCACTATAACCACAATTAATTTATTGCAGACCATCAGAGGGCAATCTTTTCCGTTGGATGTCAAAAAAATTCTTTCACAAATGCGTAACTTTCCGGTAATTTCGAGAGGGGTCCATGAAGGATCACTTGTCCCAAGGGTAGATGTCATTTGCCAAATTAATTTGCCATTGATTACGAAATCAGTCTTTGCTAGAATCCGAGCATAGGTCACAAGCACGTAATGTCACAGCGATAGTCAACTTCTCTGGGAGTGCCTGCTGGGAAATAAGTTAGGGTAAGGCCACACGTTTACGTGACGTATTTCCGGTAATTCAACCCCGCCAGCTTCAAAACACTTTATTAGTAACCTGTCTCATATTCCGAACGGCATCGAAGTGCATTCGAGTAGTGAGTGGCAGTTAACGAGAAGATCCTCAACAGAAGGTTCCTAAAGAGAACAGTTACTAAGAAGAATCATGAGAACCACGCTAATCTGGGTGCTTTTGGTGGCTGTAATTTTCTGTGAAGGGAGACGAAGTCGTATAAGCCGAATTCTCAGCCGCTACAGAAGAAGGAGACCGCCGCCTGCCCCAGTAACAACAAAGGCTGTCCGTACGACTACTCCGACCCCAAAGGTTAGCCCTTTGAAAAGTTGTAAAGTTTATTTTGCAATTTCATGACAATTGGAGTCAGAGTTTAAACAGTATTGCGTAAATCGATGTTTATCAACCCGGTTTACAGTGAAAATGGCGAGTTTCGTTTTACGCTTTCGGTAGTTTAATTGCGTAGGCCAAAGTGATGACAGATTGAGAACCCACGGCCTTCGAGCCTCAAGTATGGACTTCGTGATGAGAAGATGGGTCATTGAATTTAGCAGTCGGACGCTTTTTCTGTACCCATGTTGTGCTACAATTTTGAAATGACTTTCATCACATGTGACTCTTTAGAATGTGTGACAATTTTAGGCATATTTCGACGATAAATCGATCGATGACGAAGTGTAATCTGCTAACCTTGTAATTGCTAGCAACCTATTTTGGCAGGAAGGATGCTCTTCTAGAGAAAAACCACCCCTAAGAAACGATTTTTCCATCGCATGTNAATAAGTTTTCATTCACATGCAAATTAAACTCATTTTCACAAGAATGGTTGAACAACAGCCCTCGTTTTTAAAAAAGGAGGCCAAATGCAACTCGGAAATGACCTATCAGTTGAGGCATTTTTCATTTCTTAAGTCGAGTGGTCAGGGCGTGTTCTCATTCCTACCTCCTCCCTATTGTCAAAACAACGAAAACCAATACTTTAATGTACAACGATTTGATGGGCTGGAAAAAAAAAAGAATGATTAATGATAAATGAAAAATTTCCCACGGGAAAGAGACATAAATTTCTCATAGATAAGAGGAGGGAGGGGGTTAAAAATGTAAAGCTAGCAAGGCAAAAGTGATAAAAATGAAGTTTGAGGGGATAGAAAGTGGCAATTTGTCAACAGTTTCGTCGCTGATTGTTGCTTTTCAAACCTTTCCCAGCTTTTACCAAACTCTTGATGGCATGACCCCAATTACCCTTAGCATGAGCTAAAACTTAACACTAGAGTCTACTGTACAAAGCTACTATGTATCCAATGCATTTAATAGCCCTTCACATGCTCACCTTAGTCTCCATTTTCTCCTACTCTTCTTCATACATATCCTTTGATATTGACAGGGGGAAGTCGTATAATGATCGAAGCTTCTTGGGTTGGCAATCATTTCATTTATTCTCATGGTTGTTATGAATAATTCAGCAGTATATTGTTGTAAGGAAAAAATAAGATACTGGTCACTCTGGATTTTCTCCATATCAAAGTTTCAAGGTCAATTTGCTTTTGACACCAGTTTCTTTTTTTCTTTTTTTTGAGGCTGACATCATACCTGTTGGTATCAACTCATTTTATAATGTTCCAGCATTGAGAAAGATCAACTCAACACAGGCATTTTATGATTATTTCAAGAAGATTCCACGCAATGGTAAATGAAAATATAAATTTAAATGCTTGTCAAAGCATGTGAACAGAGTTTTAGAGAAAGGAAAATGCAAACTTGTGTACCATGTGCCCTTGATATAGCTGGAAGGTTAACCAGCTCATAGCTTTGAAGCTGCTAAATGGAAGGTTGTGACATCTGTGTCAATGAACATGGATCATGATTTTTACCTACTGGTAGGCTAGCCTTATATCTGGTTGCCTTGAAGTCTTGAAGTCTTTAATAAATGCTAACATGGAATTTCCAGTCCCATTCTTTGGTGACCTGCTTGTCACCATTTTGGACCCTAAATTTTTCACTCTGAATTACTAACTTATTGTGTGTTGAAAGAAAATCGTGAGACATAAGTTGCCAGAGAATAGGCTCTAATTCAGATTGCACAAATCCTCTGTTTTGAAATTAGGCCTAGTGCATACTGCCTTTAATTTGAAAATGAATCTTTATCATTATGAAAGCAAAAAGAAAAGTTTTAGACAACCTAATTTTTGGAAGTGAGGCCATTTACATTTGGAAATGATTCTAAATGGCGCATCGTTTTTGTAAGTAACAGGGAAGGCATCTACACTTATCATCTACGATTAAAGTGTTGTACTTCTGACCTGGTTAACTGTGGTTCTTACTGAAATAAAAGTGATGTATATGGTTTATGTAAAAGAAAATTAATTGATTTTGAATTTAATGACTTCTAGGAACCCTTCCTGATGGTCGTATTCCCGGCAGACATTCAACTGCAGGTGAGGGTTAGGTCTGGTGGTTGTCTAACTAAATAAGAGCTAGTTGGTAGATTATTTTTTTTTAATATGCATTTTACTTGTCTTTCTTTTGGTTACAGTTAATACTGATGGATCAGTGTGGGCTTGTAAAGTTCGACCAACCCTGGTTAGCCTTCCAGTTCCACAGTTTGGGGTACAAATATTTCCTCCTTGTGCATTGCTAAATCGTTGCACAGGTTGCTGCTTAGCAAGGGATCTAGTGACCTGCAAGCCTCGCGAAAAAAAGATGACAGCAGTAGAACATTACACCATCTATATGCCAACTGGAAACCCTTGGGGTATGTAATGATTTCTCTCCTAAAAAAAAAAAACTGACAACCAATATGACGATGAACTTTGCCTTGTCATTTGCAATCCATACATTGAATTATTTCCACCATTGACCCTCTTCACTCTCTGTCATTTCAGCTTATAAACTGCAGTTTGTATTATTAATTTACTAATTTTTTAATTATTAATTTATTAATTATTAATAATAATAATTAATCAATTATTATTATTAACACTATTCTTTTTCAAAACAAAATTTTTGCCTTCAGACAGGAAATTTAGAAAACCAGTATTTTGTTTCAATTAGTTTGGCTATCATCAAGTTTCTATTTCATTAAGCAAGCTATCTTTTCCTTTAGATATTTCTTATGTTCTTGGTTCTACATTGATGGAAGAGCATGTTAAGTGTGGCTGTGAGTGTATTAAGACAGCTGAATCTTGTGATCCAAAGAAACATGAGTGGGATGAATAAATCAGACCTGAAAAAAATTTCAGGCCTGTACGGGATTCGAACCACTGACCTCTGCGATACTAGTGCAGCGCTCTACCAATTGAGCTAACAAGCCAACTGGGAGCAGGCCATCAAATTAATTCGATATAAACCCGTAGATGATAAATCGAACAACAACAAACATATGAAACATATGAGTGAACTGCGGTTATGAGACGTATATAAGAACGATCCTTCGCATCACACGACGATTGATTGACAAATGGTCCAGTGGGACCTAAGGCTCTTTTTATAGCGCGCCTTCGTGTTTAAGCAAAGCCAGCCGGTGAGAGGTCTGGGAGGGATCCAGCACTTATTATTAGTGCCAGACCCTCGGCAAACCTCTCCAGACTCGTCTTAAATCTTCCCGCGGACACAAAAACGTACTTTCTGCAGCGCTAATAATGATGATGAAGCGTCGATAATGAGCAATGATAGGGACTGTAAGCAAACCACGACGGCTACGGCAACGAGAACGTGGAAAAACAATAGATCTAATTGGCAGAGCAATAGCCCAGCACGTGCGTTTTCAAACTTTGTACATTTCTTAGCAGTCCTTTGCAAAACAACAACGTGAAATCACCAAAATTTGCGTGGTCTGTGAAGCTAAAACGCTACTTTTATGTGTTATGTTGAGTTTGAGGTCTGGCACCCTATGAGACGGTGAACACATCCAGCCATTTTCGAAATTCAAACTAAAAGTAGAAACTCATTTTTTAATCGACGTCTTGCGTGGCGTTGCCATCCTGACTGCTTAAAGTCCCTAATGACATTTGTGTGTGCTTAGATGAGATTATATAAATACAGTTTGGAGTCGTGCTTTCTGAGAAATAGTTCATCTAAATCTGGTGAACGCTCAGGGGAAGTTACGGGAAAGAGTTAAGAAAACCTAAGAGGCAGGTGTGTGTTTGCACAATTAACTGCTACAATACTGGTTTCATCTTTCCAGATATTGTCCTTATTTAATTCCAATTCAGTCAGTCTGACTGGTACAACTATTGTAAAAATAGAACTTTGAGACTAAGAAAAAGCCACCATTAGGGAAAATAGCTAAATTCTAAGGTCCAATGATGTGGGCATATATAGTGACTGTTTATTGTTACTACAGTGTTGATTACTGCGTGTTTTAATGTTTAGTTTGACAAAGACAAGTGTGGCTGTGTCTGCAACAAGGCTGAGAAGGTGTGCCCTAATCCTCTTCATGAATGGAATGTTGAAGAGTGTGGTTGCGCATGCAAGTTCCGACCTACCCCTAACTGCAGAGGAAAACAGGTCCTTGATAAAGACACCTGTAAATGTAAATAGCTGCTTCCTGGACATTAATTATGGACATATCATGGATCAACACTTTGCTCTCTTCTTAGTTCCCATACATATCCACTAAATAAGAGTCATGCCAGCTTAGATGGAATAATTAGGATTCATCCACAACAAGAAGCCTGGAAAAAAATTAGTGACCTTTGAAACTTTTTCTTAAGGCAAAGAATGGTCACTTAAGAGTTGGCTGCAGGAAAAACCACTTGCCCTGCTTTAACTTAGATTAAGAATTTTCTCTAAACCCACATTTGCACTAGTTTACTAATTTTCCTTGCAAATTGTCTCTAGTGGTTGAGGAAAACAGCTTTCTTTAATACATTTATTTAGAAAAATCAACAAAAATCAAGAACTCTTCAGAGCAAAATTTTACCAAAACTAGCTTATCCCTACTAAGGGAAACTGGACTAGCAAAAATTTATTTTTTGACCAGTCAAATGCTATCAAAGGGAAAACACAATACTGTCAGTGATTGCCCAGTGCTCATTTCAATGGCAGCTGTGACAAATAGACGGAAATTGTTGTGGATTCTTGTTGTATTGTTCTTGAGAATATCCATTGCTATTTGGATGACAGTTTCATACTACTCAAGTACCTCCTACTCCCTTTGGAAATTTGACATGTAGCCTCTTGGCTTTTAAGCCAGTCCCCATCAATGTTCTCCTGTAGGGTGGCGATGAAATCTTTTGTACTAGTATATTGTAGATAATTTTTGTAATGACATATTTTTAATATAACTGGTTAAAGCTTACTTTTAGTTTACTCTTGCTTTGGTTTAAAAATGTAAGATTAAACAAGAAATTTGAAGCATGACATGGATTTGTAGAAATGAAATAACTATTGAATATTTTGATTATAAATATTTGCATTATCTCGTAGTAATTAATTATAAGATTTTATGGTAGGTTTCACATAGCATATCATATTCCTCTTCTTAATACCATTGCTTCTTAAACATACATGTTTAGGACAGTGCTCATCATGTGAAAGTAGGGATAAAAGGGATTGGATTATTGCTGCAGAACTTTTTCCATCCTCAGTTGCTTTTTTAGGGTTTTAATCAGCCTCAGTAATTGCATGAATGGAGCCATGTTGCATTGAAAAGCTGCTGTGTACGGTTATCCTGGCTGAGTACTTAGGTATTTTTAGTTGAACTTGTGGACTAGAGCAGGTTTGTCTTCCCTCTAACCCACATTTTGAAAGCATTCGGGGGTGCTTCATAATTGGTAACTTGTAATGCACTGGAGTTTTGAGATGTAAAAAAACAGAAGAATCCAGTCCAATGACACAACAAGTTTTATTTCAATATGGAGTCAAACTCATGGCGTAAGGGGCCATAGATGCATGTGCATGTACATATTATGTAATGGAACATAGCAGGATTTAATATTGACATTTCTTAGTAAGCCTGCATTTTCTAATCTCCAAATTAATGGAAAATAAGGCCCAGACCCTTGAGGTTGCAAAAACACATTGGCTGGATGGCATTACTCTTATTTTTCATCGAGTTTTTGATGAAACTTCCCCATGCAAATTAACTCACCTGTAACTTCACAAGTCTTACCTTTTGTGGTACTGATTTCTCATGAGTATAGATGGGAACCAATTTATTGCCAGGGAAACCCACGACAGCAGCTTACAGTGTATGTTTGACTTACATCCTACTATCCAGAGGAAGTAACACTAGACCCCAAGTCAGTTAATGCAACCATCATGATAACCCTTAGAAGAGGACTTCAGGACCCTTTTGAGAGGGACATACCCACAGCTGGAGTCTAAGCCTACACATCAACAACTCGTGTCTGAAAAAAGGTTATTTCTATGAATCTGTGCCGACACTTGATATTCTCAATCCTACTTGACCTCTTTTTCAACCCTTTCACTTCCAGATCTCATTAGCAATTCTCACTACTCTCTGCCATACAATGCTAATGTTGTTAGTTTGAAGAATTTGGTTTTGGATTGACTGAGAATCCTTTTCTTGATATTTTCCTCTATTCTCATAACTTGTCTGGTTGATAGTGTATCACTATTGTGAAGAGAAATTCTGTTTTGGTCGCTCATGGGAGTTAAATGGTTTAGCAGTGCTAGCTAGGGCCTGCATATTTGATCTTAGGAATTGGCAAAAAGAGTAAAGGGACAATTATAATACCTATTAATTTAGTAATCAACATCCTGCACAGCAGTGTTGTGTTTCCCCTACTCTCGAAGTGATTTGCTCCCTTTACATTTCAGTTACAGTTACATGGTACAATCTCTTGCAGATAAGGTTAAAAAAGGAACCTGAAGAGGCTGCAATATTATGTTATTTCATTATCAAAGTAGATGGTGAATTATATTACTCCAATGCCAGTACCCAAATATAAGCTTGTTAATTTAAAATTTTTAAATACAGTATTAACTCACTACTTTACATTATTTTTCAAAATTTCCTTTCAAACTCTCTGGCATGCTTGGCATAAATTAATCAGAAGTGGTGTGGTCATTTGAAATACCAAGCTTTGGATATCATAAGAAAAAAAAAATTAATAGAAAAGCCAATCTTTCATAAAGATTTTGAACAAGAACAAGAACTGTGTCAAGTTACCAAATGAATTGAAAGCATCGGTATCACATGCTAAGAACACAAACTCAAAACATAAATCTCTTCACAGGTCCTCCGCCTATCATTATCAGGAGAATTTAGAAAGCTGACTTTTTTAAAGCAACAAGTACCCCTTCATCACACCACAATTGCCACTTAACAATCTAATGATTTTTTCTACCATAACCAGCTTTTAGTTGATAATCAACCATGCGTTTATCTCCTCTCCCCCCTCCATTGTATGCAGTGTGACAGCATCTTCATGCAGAACTTCAACACTTGAATTTTCTGTTTCCCTCATTTGCTTTGCTATGTAAGAGGATGTTCAGGAGTGACTCAGAATTTCTTTTAAACCATTGGTTTGCAATAAACCCATGCAGTTGGGCCCTTAAAAATTTTTTTTCTTTGCTCTTAAAAAAACTGATTTGGTATGTACAAATCAGAATAATAAATAGTAATTAAAATGTTTAGTATGAACACTTCAAGTGTGGATAAATACGTACATGTATGCATGGTTATTTACACCTCATTCATATCAAAATGGAGGAAATCTTTTGCTGCACATTTTTTTTCACTTGTTCACCTACAGTTCACAAAACTTTCATATCTGATTGCTGCATATTCTATGAAACAATGTGTATTGAATTGACAGGAGAATGCTCTTTGAAAGACAAATGGTTAGAGTTGGAATGATCCACAAGCCTGAAGGCTTCCAGGAATTCATTGAAGTCAATGTGGCCATCTTTATCCATGTCTATACTTTTTGCCAAATCTTCAATAGAGTCCACTGGGATATTAGAGTTTGTATGCTCATTCAGGAGATGACAACACTCCTCAAATTCTTCCATGGAAACAAACCCTGTTGAAGGAAATTAGGAAAGAAAGTTTTCTCTGACAGTCTAAACAATCATGTCAAAAGAGGGGGGGGGTGCAGTGAAAAGGTATCCTGTGGCACCCCGTGTGTAACATATGTAGGTTAACCTATGGATAATCTTTATACCAACAGTTAACCAATAGTTGAAAGTCAGGGATGCTGTTCTTCACAATAACACTATTTCAGTTCATGACATATAAATATTACAAAGTCTTGCTACATTCAGCTTACCTGAATTGTCTTTATCCATTAAGCGGAATATTGTTTCCAAATTTGACCTATGTCGGTAGAGTGTTTCAGTAATGCTTGGGCCATTCTATACCAGAAAAGTTGAAATTAGACAAACAAAGAACTGCATGCATATTGAAAAGCTGTGCCATGTGTCTAGTTTTAAAATACTGGTATACTGCTTTAGCCTTTGCTTAAAACACAGAATATTTATGTATGTGTAGATTGAGGGCATTTGTGCATGAGGCAATAATGTATTATGTTCCATGTCTGAATTACAACGAATGTTCTATTAGGGTTATGAGGCAAAGGTAGAGTCCATGTAATATGTATTTTGTGAAAAACTTATGGATCACTCCCCTTTGGCTCATGGTTTATAAGCCTTCCTTGTGTTCTCCCAACATCCTGCATGGTTTTATCATGTTATCGAGCCCGGAAAAATGTGTTCTATTGCTTAAATAGTTCCTGAAAAGTTATCTCCTACTTATTGTCCAAGTCATCTTAAAGGGTGGTGGCACCTTTTTCAGCTCTGCTCACTCTGTGCACAGAACTTTAAATGCTCATCTAATTGATGCCACTGTAATTCACTATGCATAGATGAAATCATAATGATACACCCTGATTGTAAAATCAGTTACGGATATCCATTATAAGGGTAATAAACTCCTTCCATAATGGGCCTCTCTGGGACTAAAATAATTTCCATTCATACTCCAACCAATAAAATTAATATTCACATGTTACTTCACTTTCCTACAAGGCATCCACTGTTCCAGTCAAGTTTTCATTGAATAGATTTAAAAAAAAACTTACCTTTCATTCAATATCCTGATAATTATCAGCTTAAAAATTTATAAGTACTTACCTTGTGCAGTCCTGTCTCAATGATATACTGGTCAAAACAGGAACGGTATTCCACTTTTCCATCAGGCAGAACATGGGCAAGCTGATGTCTTAGCATGTTCCAGGGTACATCTAATTTTAACACACTCTCCACTGCACTTGCCCACTGAGTTGCAGTCAAATATCCTTAAAAAGAAATGCCGCAATCATATCTTACATCAAAGGCCGTGCTCAAAACCACCAAATAAAACTTAAAAAGAAATAAATTTTATAGTAGCCCTCAACACCCATAGATCAGTATGGATGTTCTCCATACTGTTCTCTACACATTTCCTAAGGTGCAAACAAGGAGAATTTATTTAACAATTGAGTGCTTTTTTAGTTTGTGATCATTTCCCCTTATTCTCCTTACCTGAATGTTTGATTCAAGAGTGATATTAAAAAGAGAAATTGGATGCTCATCACTCACAGGCATCAAAAGGGTTAGGGTTAAAAAATAGCTCCAGGCTAAGTTATAATAATGCAAAAGAAGCATCCCACTGAAGCTGATCTCAGTTTCGGTAGCAAGAAGCAATGCTACAACTATATTTCCCCCATGGATCTGATAGCAGTTCACTGAAGGTCCCTCCCCCCTCCTTTCCAAGCATCTTGTCATATGTATGCCAGCTATTACTCATTTATAATCCTTGGTAGAGAAAGGCATGGCCTTCACTTGACACAGTGGGTACTCAGGCCCCAGTATTTTCAATCTGGATTCAGTGGATTGAAGAGGTGGGAGGGGAAGAGCTTATTGCATGATACAGGATAAGTGTTCATAATTTTCATAACTGTTAGAAATACAAAAGTAAAACCCATGAACTGTGAATTTTTTGCTTTTCACAATCCTGATTAGGTATCGATTTTTCGTGACCTGTTTTTTTTTACGTTTTGAATTGTCTGAAAAGTATGCATGACCCCCCTCTCCCTTTACCCCCTCATTGTAAATCAGTTGCTGTGTATACAATGAAAGAGAATTGTGTGTGGGGGGGGGGGGGAGGTTCTCTGAACATTTCAGTAATATTCCAATAATATTTGATATTTTACCTGTATTTCCCTTGTCTCTTTCTTCAAAGGCAGCCATCAAGGCTATCTTGTTAGCATAAAGTCTTTCCCTTAATTCTCGTATTGCAGACTCTTCAACTATTCCAATCCTACAGAAACAAATTGAAGCAATTTACATCAAAGTTTGGTTTTACAGCAGCTCTACAAACTATATAACAACGGTCCCTTTAAAACTTAACTGTGAAAATGACTTTGACACAAGCTAAAGCATCTTTTGATTACCAAGAATATCTGAGTATTTCTTGTGATGAGATGTTCCACCTTTCCCTGAATATTAGCTTCCCCTATCCTAACCTGAATTTGAAATAATTGCCCCAGGCACTAATTAAAGGATTTTAAGGTATACAAAAATGATAATGCTCATGAGATAAAAGAATTTATGTGCCATTTTTTCTGCAAGAAGCTTTGATCATTATAATTATTGATACTGACCTCTGTTTCAAGGTGAGATGCTTCTTAGCTTTTGAAGCTTGATACTGAACGAAGTAAGGGTTCATATCAGGTCCAATCTTCATGTATGCACCCCTGTTGCTTCCCTGCTCATAGTAATCTGATGCTGAGAATATTGTTATGACCTACAAAAAATGAAAGTTTTTAATAATTTTAATTTTCAATCTTTGGAGCAATATACTATTAGATACTTTTAATTCAGTGCTACAACTTATCCCAGGTAGTTACAAAAATGAAGACCCCAAAAACAAAGATCCCTTGCGAAAACTAAGACCCCCTATGAAAACGAAGACCCATCACAAAAACGAATACAAATTCCTAAACCAAATTCAAAAGAGGTTCGTATTACCTTTATGGACAAAGATTATGTTCACGAGACTCACTACGAAAACAAAGACCCCCTATGAAAACAAAGACCCATTACAAAAATGAAGACCCAGTACGAAAATGAACACCCAATATGAAAATGAAGACCCATTACCAAAACGAAGACCCCCTACAAAAAAGAAGACCCCTTACGAAAATGAAGACCCCCTACAAAAACGAAGACCCCCTAGGAAAATGAAGACCATAATGAAAATGAAGACCCATTACGAAAACAAAGACCCCCCTACGAAAAAGAAGACACATTACTAAAACAAATTCAAGAGATTGGTATTACCTTTGTGGACAAAGATTACCGTATTTATTCGTCTATAAGCCCAACTCTGCTATAAGCTGAGACCCTAAACTTCGGTCTATTTTAATTGGGAAGGTTCTTAAAACATGTAAATTGAAAGTACTTGGCTATAATAAGCTGAGAGGATATACATGATTGCAAATTTCAACGCGGTAATATGTGACGAGTTTGTTTACCAATCGTGGGAATGGGCAATTCTGATTGGTCAGTTTCGAAATTCTTAAAACACTTTCGCAAGATCTATACTCCAGACGGCACAGAAGATGAAGCTATCTACTCAGAAGAAACAGGAGAACTAGCAGATGAGGAGGAGAAGGACAACGAATTCGATGCCGACACAGAGGATAAACAGTAAGCCGTATTTACTATGCGCCGAAAACAACAAACCACTCCTTTGGAAACCACCACAAAAATAAAGTCAATGACCAATTTCAACTTTTTTTGTTATTTATTTCAGCATGCAATATCTCGGCTTCGTTTTCGTGATGGGTCTTTGTTTTCGTAGGGGTCTTCGTTTTCGTAACAGGTCTTCGTTTTCATAGGGGGTCTTCATTTTCGTAATGGGTCTTTCTTTTCATAAGGGGTCTTCGTTTTCATAACTACCCTTATCCTAGCCTCATTACAAGTGATGATGAATATTGGATGGGATGCTATCATGCTCCTCATTAGAGAACAACCTTTTTTCCCCGTAAATAGAAGAGAAACAGGATTTAAATCTGTAGTTAATAGGCAATTATAAGAAAGTTTTCCCAGGCTTTAAAATATGATAACTTATTTCAGACTGCAAGCCTAAAATTTAGCACATTTTTTCGAAAATTTCAACCATTCCATACCTTTCCACCATGCATATATTCATATCCTTCAAATTTACATTCATGAGAACGCACAAGAAGCTCCAAATCATGTTTCTTCAGGATGCGGTCTGTAATGTCAGGACCAAAGTAACAGCCCCCTCCTCTAAATGTGTTTGGTTTACAACCAGGGAAGGGTTTGGGATCACTCCACAGCAGATCCAACACCTACAGGTGGAAACCACAATCAGGTCTTTCTGCATAACAAGGAATTACAAAGATTGAAACTGAACTATAAACAAATGCTTTAGAAGTGAGGTGCACTTGAAATAGACGGTGGCCTGCAATTTCAAAATAGTTTAATTCACAAGCAGAGGGTGGCAAAAACTGACCAAAACCTGGACCCAATAAAAAGGCTAGCTTAACAGAATAAAAGGAAATAAGATGGTGATGAATTTAGTACGAGAAGCTATTTTTAATTAGCATATTTACCACACCACTCTAATGAAAGGTGTGACAAAAAAAAGCCTTTCGAGCATAAAACTAAAGGTGAAAAAGAAGAATTACCTGTCTCCACTCCAACAAGTCAAAAGTATCTGGATGTGCTTTGTCCATGCCCGGTGGCTTGAGTATTGACACATACTAATAATAAGAAGATAAAACAAATTAGAGTTTGTAGAAGACCACCATTTATTAATTTTATTATCACCAACACATGCTGTCACAATTGTAGTCACTACTACCAATGCCACTACCATCCCCATTCTTTTCAAAGCCACTGACCACAACCATTTCTGTCATCATCATCATCATCATCACCACCACCACCACCAGTACTACTGCTAACATTATTAGCAACCTTACACAACCATGATAACACCAGCAATGTGAATTTAAGTAAACAAAAGGTTGAATGAGAAGTGAAATTGCCAAATGTTATGTACTCCAAGGAAGAAATCCCTGATATCAATTTTTTTTAATGCTTTTCCTTGACAAGTTAAGATGTAAAGGAAGTCTTTCAACATAAAGCACAGTACACACATATGGCCTCTCAAGAAATTCCTATCATGAATGTTACTTCACTTTTAAGATGACGTTTTCCCAGTTTTGTCATTGTAACTGCGTAAGGCCCCTTCACTATTGTTATCATCAAGGTACAAACAAGTTATGGTCTCAATCTCAGGATACTACTTGTGTGCTACCAATAGACAACTTAAGGTTTTATTTTGTCACTAGACTATGAATATAAGCTCCTCTGTGGGTGTTCATCAATAAATATGTAATCAACATAGTCTGAAAAAACCTTTTACAATATGAGCATTGAGAAGATAGATAGAACAGAGAGAACTGGGTACAAACCTTGTGACGGTCAATTTTGTCAATGAATGACAAATCTGTAATATTAGATATTCCTCCATGAGTGATAAGAATTTTGTTGTTCACTACCGTAGCTAAGGGGAGCCATCCAAAGATATCTCCAAACAACTGCATGACTTTTGAAGAATGTTCCTGCCAAGATATCATCAGGAATACTTGTGCATGATCAAGGCAAAACTGAATTTTTACAGAGTCTAGCCAGCTTAGAGCAGCCTGAGCATTGAGCAGGCTCAGCCAGTGTCGTATTTTGGCTACAAATTGATTGTATTCTAGGGCATCATTCATTGCATGGCTTCATGTTAGTTCTATAGTTGTAATGTGCCAATTCATTTGTGTCGATTGCCAGCTACCTTTTTACCCACCCAGCCTCTCTCATTTCTGATCATATGCAATTATGATAGTTGTAGCATTTAGTGTGATTTGTAGTTCTATTGCATTTTGTTTCAGCGCATGATTATTTCTATCCTTTCACTAATTTTAATAAAACTTCTTTTGGGAGCAAAAAGGGGGAATTGCTTGATGATAAAGAAGACAGCCAATTGCAAACTCCAAAGACAAAAAGAAGATTCCTCCACAGGTAAGAAAAATCCACTCAAATTTGCCTTGTTCCCAACTTGTGGCTTTGTAATTTGAATATATCAACAAAGTTGAAATGGAAAATTGTAGCATTGTAGCTCAGTTGGTGGTAGCAACCAACTAGTATCTGGGAGCCATAGGTTTGAATCTAGTAATTGAAGCCTGAATTTTGTCAGCTTCACCAACTGTTTCCCCAGCTGGCACAACTAGTGGAATTTAATCCAGTTTTGTGTGGTGTATGACTATTAAATTAAAATAAATTTTCCACAGTGCCTGATCAATTTACCTTGTACTTGTCCATTACTTCTTTGACAAATCCATATCTATTGAAATTTAGAAATAATCAAACATAGTCTGTGTGAATATCTTTCAGAGTAAACTACTCACTTTGTAAGGAAGCCTGGCATCTTAACTTAATCACAAAGATTAACTATAACTGACTTTTTAGATTGAGTACATAAGAGCAAAGTTCTTATTAAACTGACTTTTTAGATCAAATTGAGTATGTAAGAGCAAAGTTCTTAAACAGACATGCAGTGAAGAGTTGTTGAGCACCTGCTAAAGGGAGGTACTGTACCAGCTACTTTTGCCACGCAGTGTAATCCATTGCAGGTTATATACCTCCATTACCTCATCAGGTTTCTCTAACAGATGGCCATGTGCTACCCATTTGTATTGTTGGTTGAGAGGCTTTATAAGACTAAGGCCCCATTCATATGGTCTCAGGTACCTGAAACAACTCTCCATCCCCAGGACAACTTTACAGAGTTTTATATAAAATTTGACCTTTGCTAACCCTCCTTTGGCCAGGCCAAGTTCTTAGTTACTAAAAAAAAGAATGACCTACAATGACCTACAATGACCTACAATGACCTACAATGGTCTACAATGACCTACAATGACCCACGATCTACAATGACCTACAATGACCTACAATGACCTACAATGATCTGCAATGATCTACAATGACCTACAATGATCTACAATGACCTACAATGATCTGCAATGATCTACAATGACCTACAATGATCTACAATGATCTACAATGACCTACAATGATCTACAATGATCTACAATGACCTACAATGACCTACAATGATCTACAATGACCTACAATGACCTACAATGATCTGCAATGATCTACAATGATCTACAATGACCTACAATGACCTACAATGAGCTACTGTAAGATCCCTGTAATGAAGTTGATGAAGATTTAAGAAAAAAAGCAAAAAAAAAAATAAATAACAGGAGACATGTGTGCATTAACATAACATGTTTGCTTTTTGTCTACTGAATAACAGGCAAATTATACATGTCTCATTATAATACGGTGTATTATAATGAGACATGTATAATGACTATAATGATAAAAAGAAATGCCAAAACCTTTGGCTTAAGATGTTTTTGAGGGTGTTATATAACCAACCTTCTCATAATTTCACACTATCATGAGGCTGAGTCGTATTTGACCTGTCAACACCTTTTACTCATTGATATTTTTGGACAGCAAAATAAAAAGGTCATCACACCATCATGAGGCTATGTCAGTCTTCGCGTTGTCAACGTGCATTGTTAATTTCCTCTAATAAGGTAATTTCCACGAAGTAAACTCTAGTGACAGTAACAAGTAACTCGGTAAACTTACACGGCCTCCACCAACTTAATACAACTTGAAAACTATACACAAGGCCTCTTAATTCAAGCAACTTAATAACATACTCATGGCCTTCACCAAACTTGACAAACGCTGTCTCGTCACACTCGACTGATCACCTTTGATATCCAACTCTAAGTGGCTTAAAATGCTGAGTCACTGTCAGTGATACGAAGAAAATTCCAGACGATTCTAGAAAGTCATGCAAGTCACGCCACAATTTTTCGTAACACTCATAATAACTCATTGTAGGTCATTGTACCTCATTGTAGGTCATTGTAAATCATTGTAGGTCACTGTGGATCATTTTATACTTGTCCCCACGGTAACTCATTGTAGCTCATTGTAGGTCATTGTCGGTCATTCCTTGTTTTAGTAACTACGAGGCCAGGTTACATATTTAAAGAAGTAGTAGAAGACAGGAAAAGAATAGCTGTAAAACACTCAGGCTCTAGTTATAGTGTGGGCATGCATTTTCTGTCCAAGTTGTCTCATGTCAAGTGGGTAAGACATGGTGTTTACCTGAGAGAAAGTTGTCCTGCCTGCCAAGGAAAGACAACTCACCTCCTTCCCCCCCCCCAACCCCTCTGAGAAAAGTTCACAACCCTCCTTCCCCCCCCCCAACCCCTCTGAGAAAAGTTCACAACCCCATGTAATCGATTGGCTGAATTTTATAAAGAGATAAGTGAAAAGTCAGCTTCCCCAGAGTAACTCAGAGGGGGCAGGAAGGGGCTTGTCTCGGGTACCCAAGACCATATAAATGGCACCTTAAGGTGTCTTTACCAAGAACACAATGCAAGGGATTGCACCACAGTGTCTTCACCAGGAGTCTAGAGGGCTAACTATTAGATCACTGCATCTCCCAAGCCTCAGGAAAAGTTTCTTTACATGTAACTTCTAGAACACAGTCCTTGTCCACACACCTGAGATTCATTATATGATCCTCATGATTACCACGATTGATGTAAACACCAGTGGGATAAAGCAGGAAAAATGAAAATAAAATGATGGCAATTTCAACGGAGTAAGGGCCTCGATCCACAAGGTCACCATTGAAGATGTAAGGATTTTCAGCTGAAGGAAGACCATTCTGTACAAAAAAATTATTGCATTGATAAATATCCATATCAAAAGGAAAAATTTCATGAACTTGGGGTATAAATGGCAAACCAATTCTTAAGGTGGGTTTGATTTTTAGACCTGCATTCATTTGTGGGTCCAGTTTTTTGTTGGTTCTCATCCTTGTACAAAGGGGTTTTTCTGAGTTTACAGGTTTTCAGTCTTACAGCTCAAATTCCAGTTTATTCTGAAAACCAGCAAATGACTATTAATACCCTTTCATGGAAGTGCCACTGTTAAAATCTACACTTTTCTAATTTTAATCTTATTTTACTAAACAGTCACAGCATAATTTGCTTGCCTTGTGAAAAATCACAAACAGGTCATCCAGTTTCCCATGAAGGTCACCTGTAGGAAGTCAAAATGGTATTCATTTGTTATTTTCTTTAAGTATATTTCTTTATACCCCATGGCCCAGTTGTGCAAAGGCTGATTGACACTAACCCAGGGTTAAATTTTAATCTGAGTTTCTTTTATTATTCCTTTGTTCAAAAGCATTTTTGGATAATTTTCTCTCTTCTTTTGAAGGGCATCCAATCATCAAATTGTAGGTAAAAAGAATTGTTACAGTACTGAATTTTCTTTTAAAGCTTTGAGATCTGCAGTAAGATTTCACACTAACCCTGGGTTATCTTAACCCAGATTTGAACACTCCAGCCCAGCTGATGGGAGCCTCAGTGCAAAATTCACACATCCTTTATCAATCAAAACAGCATTAGGTGCAAATGTAAGTACAAACCTCCTTTAATTTCATCAGTGCAGCTACATCATAGGGATAGAGAAAGGAGGTGTGAAGAGAGGTTTAAGAGGAAGGCGGTGAACTGCAAGAACTAACAGCCCTTTGCGGTAGATATGAAGTAAGTCACAAGCACATGGTTTGTTCTCATAAGTAGCTTGTTTAACTTGGTAGCAACATTCAAAACGCTGTGGAATTGCTTCATTTAGAGTCCAAAACACTAATTTTAAATCCTAGCGGATGCACCTCAACCACCTGAAATCAATTTCTTGTTGAAAAGTTAAAATAAACCTTGCATTATTCTCACCACAAATTGTTATCTGTTTGGAGATCCTTGTGGAAGCCCTGTAGATGTTAGGTAATACCTTGAGCTTTTCCCTTGTTTCTCGAAGAATAAGGAGGACATACTTAACATGAAGGAGCTGTCAAAAACACAACAGGACAATAAGAAGATGAAAGTGGATCAAAGCCGTTACATAACCTATCTCCTTCACTGATTGGAAAACACTACATAAAAGATTTCAATTGTTGCTTCTTTATCAAATAATGTTGATCATTTTTTTGGACATATAATGGATTACCATAGCAACACTACAGCCTCCTAATTGGATACCTTAATTTCAACCCTTTGCAGCTCTTACAAGTTTTAAGAGTCAGTAGATGAGGTTTTGAGTCGAGACAGGTTATTTTAGTTAGTTTCCAGTGGCACTGTACCAACCTTGTGAGACTTATAGAGCTCAATGATGTTGCGCACAGTGAGAAGCGTCAGTGGTAGTGCAACATGAGGTCCCTTGTAAGTTTCCTCAACTGTGATCTTCGATGGATCAGTAAGCATCTCCAATTTCTCTGATGTTTTTGATATAGTTGATGTAGAACTGCCTGAGAAGATAACAAGATGCAAAAAAAAAGAATTTACTAGTCAGAGAACTTGTTAAGAGTATGGATCAAAGAAAAAATTCTGAGTCTCATTTTTGAGATATTGCCAATCCTAGCTGTATATGCAGGATGTGTGTCATACATAATAAATACAGTAGTTATTTAATGTACGAAGGCGATCTTCACGGCAATAAAAACCACTTGAGCAGTAGTGAAAATTAACTCTGAAAAAAGTTCAGGCCTGTATGGGATTTGAACCCATGAAGTTAAGGATACTACAAACGATTCATTTAGCCTAAGTCGAATTTGATCTCTTTGTTACGCATTATTTTAGTTACGGATGTGGTTATTTTGTGGATTCCACAGGGAAATGAAAGAGGGGCCGCCCCAAGAATACCTGGAGGAGGGATACGGAAAAAGAGATAAAGGCCCTCGGGAAGAACTGGAAGGAGCTACAACAGCTGGCAGAAAAGAGGCGTCAGTGGCGGCAGTTTGTCGATGGCCCATGCTCCAACCTGGAGCCAGGGGCTTAACTAACTTAACTAATGTGGTTACTTTGTCTATTTTCTATTGGTTTGTAATCAGATATTTTAGCGTCCCTATGCGCACCTAAAAGCCTCGTTTCACATCCCTTTAGCCAGTGTGTGATTGTATTTCACCTTGTCCATTTGTCTATTTGTTCGATTCGCCATTTTTGGTTCCTAACCTTTGGCACAAGCGGGACCGATATGTGAGTCATTTTGTTAGTTTCCTCTTTTGTTTAGTTTTCTTATTTTGGGTGGAAGCACGCTAACGAACAGAGTCGTACAATAGTACAATTTATTGTTTTTAATCTGCAAGAGAGTGAATCAAAGAATGGACGCTAATCTAGGAACGCCCACATTGTTAATCTTGTGATCCGGCAACTTTGAAATCTCGAGTTATTTTGATGTAGATTATTATGATCTTCATGAATTCCTGTTGATTATTGTTATTTTTGATCGCGTTATCAACGGAGGCATGTTAATTGCTCTGAGCATTTTTTATCACGAGCTAAGCAACATTTCAAGTAAATTGATAGGAATTCATTGCATTGTTATTTCAGTTTACGATTGTGATCGTGCATCGTCTATCATGGTTTGTGTATCGTTGATCACCAATAAATCACCATTAACCATCAACCTTGGTTTTCCGTGGTTACTGGTAATTGAAGCACGAAATGACCTGTAAGATAGTCCCATTCATACTTAGCATTAACACGCCTTAGCGATACCCCTTGAAGTTTCGATCTCATTTGTCGCAAGCGCCACACATGAGGTTTAACATCATGCAACAATATCATGTAACAACTTGATGAATGACTGCCAAAACACAGGTTGCTAGGTTGGTAACCTTCACCACTAATTCAACTGCCTTTAGAGCTGTGGTTTGTTCCCCTCTTTGGACACTTTCATCCTAGCAGTGGACTGAATTTCCCTGACGAAAATAGTGATCATGAGATAAAAGTTTAGCCTTTCTCTATCTAGAATATTTCTCTTAAAAAAAAAAAAAAAGGAGAACCATGCACTTACTTGCTGAACCCTTACGTAAGATATCCACAGCATTATTATCACCTATGAAAGATATTCGGCAAAATACAAATTAAATTTACTACAAACTGCAATACTTGAATTGAATTCCCTGTTAACTACAATATGTATATTCAGAGTAATTTTTCATTCAGGAGAAAATTTTCAACACTGATTTCTATTATCAGGAGTGATATTGGTTAAGGCTATAGAAAGGGGCACAAAATAAATAGTAATACATTGTCATTTAAAAACAAAAGCAACTTAAATCAAAACTTCTACAAAAGAAAATTTTTTCCTAGATCAAATAAAACAGAAAACTTACCATCAGCAACATGGTTCAGCATGTCATTAAAGAAGTTGAATAGCTAATAAATAAAAAAAAAATGCATTAATGCTAAAATTAAAATGAAAGCCTTTCAATTGTCAAATATAACCTCTGACAATTCAATTCAGTGCATTCTCCAACACAGGAAGTGTGATTTTACTCCCAACCCTTCCCTTAACCACTCCAAATCATCTCCTTAGAGAGTAGAAAGATTAATTCTTACTTTAACTTAAAAGAAAGAAAAACCCACCACACTTAGCACCACTTTACCAGCTCAGATTTCTTTAAAATATGGGTTACAACACTACATTGATGGGTATAACCCTTTAGAATTCAAATGTTTGTAAGCGTTTACATGTGGGGAGGGGGGAGGGGGTGGATTTTCCTTAGTTTTTTTACATAAACACTAATCCAGGTTAGTACTTTTACACAAATAGCCATTTCTGCTTTGTTTATCTATATTTGAGGGAACAGGGATGGTGCAGTGGTGAGAGCACTCGCCTCCCACCACTGTGGCCCGGGTTTGATTCCTGGACCTAGCATTACATGTGGGTCGAGTTTGTTGTTGGTTCTCGTCCTTGCTCTGAGGGTTTTTCTCCAGGTTCTCCAGTTTTCCTCCCTCTGCAAAAACCAACATTCCAAATTCCAATTTGATCTGGAAACAGTGGACAAGGAAGAGCCACCCAGTAGAATGTCCTTTGCTAAATTATTTATTTATTATTTATTTATTATATTATTTTTGTTCCTCTATCTTGATGTTCCGCTATTTCATTGTACTGGACATGTTTTCGTTACATCATGGTCAATATTGTCTAGTCAGACGACTTTGCAGTTATCTAACATGGGCTACAAATCAACCTGAGCTCATTTAAGAGGCTATTGTAAAATCTCTGTTTGGTTCACCTGATGTGAATTTATGTCTTCAGTAAAAAGGATCACAGAAAAAATATATTTCAGGAGATTATTTCTCCACAGAAGTGGACCACCTCAATTTAATTTGCCCATAAATTCAAGCGCCTCTTTGGTAAAAAACAAAAGACCAAGTATAATTGAACCACTCAAGAAAACCATTTAAAAACATAATGACTCAAATAAAACATGATTTGTCTGAGTCCATTTCCTACCACTGCGATGATTTGAGCATTTTAAAAAGCTGGATTCATTTCTAAAAAAATACTTCAATGAATTTTTCATTGAATCACAATTCATCATTCAAAACATAACAAAAGCAATCGTTCAGATTATCCTAAAGCGGTGAGCATTCGCGCTAATTCCCTCAATTTGGCTGTCTCATTTCAAACAGCTGAAAAATAGCTCACTAAATTATTAACAACTTAAAATGCAGCAATTATTAATCGTCAAGCGCTAAATAAATAAAAACCACGCTTTCAATTTACCACCTTGATGGAGGAACTCTGAATAAAAATAAAATGAAAAATTAATGTTGGGGCGGCGAAGTTTGGATATGGGCGAGAATTTAATAGTGATGATAAATAACTCGGAGAATATTTTCAACGCGCGCCATATAGTAACCTGACTTGAAGGAGAGGAATTAAAGCGAGGAAATCTATAGCTAATCGATCACGCAGTTTTCAGATCCTGAATAACTTCTCGACTTGACCATAGTTTACCTTCAATTGATCTTGTTCACCGGCATATTCAACGCTCTGGAAAATCTTCCAGGTACATCTTCGTCGGGCTTCGATGCGAGCCTGATATCGTCGGAACCATTTCTGAATTAAGATCGCTGAACGTATGGCTGCAAGAAATATAAATACATTAACTGTAGTGATAAAAATTGGAGGGAAAAGAAAACCTTCACCAAGAGGACGAATGTAAATAAAGCCATTGTGTTGAGAATGCTGTCTTAATCCTACAAGTCAAGGCAATAAAATGATGCGGATTCAAATATCCATAATACTGCGTGACACACATGAAGCATTGTTTGATAGGATAAGTCGTCTCTACTACTACACTGCTACGAGACAATTTCGTGTTCAGTTTATCAAGCTTACCTCTCTTCGCGAAGATCACATAACTTCACCTAAACTTTGCTATAAATGCGTCCGCGCTACCTGATTAGAAAAATATTTGTAAGCAAACTTAATTCACCTATTTCTGACTTTCCCAATGCAACGCTGGAATCGTCTCCATTTTCCACCGACACACCACATCCCATATTAAAATACGTTCGGTTGATCTCGATTTTTATAAGGAATTTTCACCCAAGGTTGAACGAACTCTATTCATTTCGCTAAGAAGGTAGCTCCTCTTCCCACACCTAGCGAAAACCAAGGAAAATATCGGGAGGATTTTATGAGCAATCATCTTTGCCACAGGAAATCGAAGAGTTACTCAAGATGAAGATCCATGGTTCACCACAGAGCAAGCATTTTGCGGGAGAATGACGCACAAAAGCGGGAAAACATTCCAAACAATCGACCTTCGAAATGGACACCAGAAAAACGGAAACTACTGCCTCATATTTACGAAATCTTCGGTGACATCCAATAAGCCAAGGACGCTTTATATCTAGAGCAGTTCTTCTCGAGATGTCACTTAACTATCGTGTGACGAAAACTGTCAAATATCATGTACAATGTCGTTGATGACTAATTCGTTGTGAAACAAAACCAGATACCAATCAAATCGACTTTTGAAAACACAGGCGCTATGTAGTCCCGTCTCGAAACCAATCTCGTAAACCCAAAGAGAAAGATTGTGCGGATTCAAACCACTCAGATACCAAGATGAATTTTTAATTTATTTTGTATACACTGTTGCTTAGAAACGATCATGACAAGCAGAAACCGTGAAACCCTTCGGTTAAATCTTTTTAATTTAAGAAAATATGGAAACAGCTCGAATCACTTAAAAAATGTAGAAGTTTTTTGGTGTAATATGGAAAAAACTGCGATAGAGTTCTCTTCGACTTTTCGCTATTGTCACGATAATATTTACCAATGCACTCATGACAGAAAAAAGAACGTTTCTAGGAAACCAAAACAACCCAACAGTTTATCCTTAATTCTAACTTTCGACGTTTCTACCTTTAGATACAAGGATCAGCTAAAAGGCGTTCTCGCATACAGGGTGCCTATAGAGATAAATAATGTTGGGAATTGATAAACTCTACCACTGTTCATCGCTGAAAATGACCAAATGAAAACTATACTTAACAAGTCAGAGCATAAGCCATATGAAGATTTAACATTATGGGAAAAAAAAAGAAAAAAAAAAAACAAAGAAAAAGGCTCGAATCGAAGTTTTCGTTATAAACTGTAACAATTGGGTTTTTCAGTTTACTAATTAATAAGAGCTCTACAGGTGCTTTTCGTTTTTTACAGGGATTATTCAGGAAATTAAAAGTTTTATTTGCGGAAAGCTGTCTACTAAGTTAATTCATAATGCAATATTTGAAAATGTTATTGCAAAACATAACCAGACGATTGTGAAAAATTTCAACCAAGTGGCAACAATACAAGACTGTCAGAACAACCGAGTTGGGTTATAAACCTCCGGAAGTAAGCGATATGGCGAAAAGATCTGTAAATTGTGTTTTAAAAACAACTTTTGATTCGAAGTTTTCAAGAAACAGAGAGTCCTCTTCTTGATTAGACTGCTTTGCAGCCATTTCTAGAGTCGTCACGCCAGGCGAATAAGCATTGCATGATGGGACTAAAAACGGCTGCGAGGGAGACTACAGTCTTGGTACGAACAACACAGATATTGTTTACGGGGGTTATTCTAAGGATTGAAATAGTTGTTTCTCCATAAAACCTTCTATTCAGATAATTCAAGATGCAATATTACAGAGATTAATGTCAAATATTTAAAACAGATCTCGTCGGCTGGTATACAAATGCGACTTTTATGGGTTTATATAGAATTAATTTCATGACCTGCTCCCAGTTGGCTTGTTAGCTAAGTTGGTAGAGCGCTGCACTAGTATCGCAAAGGTCAGTGGTTTGAATCCCGTACAGGCCTAAATTTTTTCAGGTCTGATTTTCACCATTGTTTAAACAATGCTCTTTACTGCGAGGATCGTGCACAAATACGTTTCTATAATCCCAGTTCAGATATATGAATTTCATATATTCGTTGTGTTAAATGCGACTTTATATCTTATTGTTTTGTTTGTCTTCACTAACGCAAATACCGTCTAAAACAAGGGTAAAAAAGTAGAGTAAACCTTCACTTCCCTCTCGTCAAGGCTTCCCGGCCTATCGTTCTATTAAATTCCGATCACTCGCTTGATGTATGCGCAAGATAACAATCATGGCTTGCCCCCTCCCCCTTCAAAAAAGGAAAATAAAAACGGCGGCACAACGTTGCATCACGCAACGTCACGCAATATCACGCTTTCGTTACTTTATTTAATCAAGGCGCGGCGGAGCGTTTTGAAAAGTGGGAAAGGTGTGCCCGCGCATGCCTATGACCTGATGCAAGTTCTCCTCCGAGTATTGACAGTATTTGAATGTATCAAATGGCCTGTTTCCGTGATGGATTTGGAAACTGCATCAGAAATCACTTGTCCAAAAAAAGAAAACAAAACAAAGTAAAAAGCACAAGAACAACAAACGAGTTTTTCGATATACAAAATTTTTCTTGGCGCAATCCCGTTGAAACGAGTTCTAAGTAGAACACGAAACTGAATATTTCGTGGAAGCAAACCTATGCCTCAGGTTACTCGTACCGAATTTTGTAAATCTACCAAATTCAAAGCGCATTCGTCTGAAATAGGGGGTTATCAAAGTTTCTTATTTTCTTTTTTAACAGACACCTCACGAGGAGGCCTAACAGTGGCTTCTTTCTCGGGGAGTATCACACAGCGGGTACGTTGCGTGACATATCAAAGAACACATGGAATGCATGGAAAGAAGACTGGGGCCTAATTTTGTCACAAGTTTTCAGTAGATTCAAAGTAAACAAGATTAGTTTCTAAAGAAACTGTTGTGCTGTGTCGGTGAGGGAGTATAACAAGGTAATTTTGCTTTTATCGACTAAGTCGATAATGCTTGACAGAGGAGTTTAAACTCTGGGTCTGAAGATAACAGTAAGGAGAGTCATATATTTCGAAAAATCAAAACGCTGTATTAAAATTTTATTGTGAATTGGATTGTTTTCAAAACCCACAATTTTGTGTGACAAAATTACCTTCTTAAACTAGCCTATTATAGTTTATCTTCAGAATCTCTTTACCTTCCTATAAATTAAAGCAGCATTTCACTCTTTCTTCTTGGCAGACGTTGCTCTTACAGTTGACACCGCTGTCCTATTAATCAGCGGGCTCGCCAACGTGTCCGCGTAAAATAAGATCCACGCCCAAATCACACCCACAGCACAATACATCGACGTAAGCATGAGCGGTAAAAAGGGCAGCTTTCCGGCAAGGGCAGTAAAAGGATGAATGGCACTGCAGTAGAGTTCCAAGACGACTAAACCATACAGGTAACATGCTTCATACCAATCAACAATGGGTAATTTGAAAAGATCCGATGTGGACGAGTTTTCGGAAGATTCTCCGCTGAAAAAAGCAAAGTTGAAGATTTTAACCAGTTAAAATGGATCGCAAATGTTGCGCGATTCTTCAAAAGTTGAAAGCCAGCCTAACTAGCCCTTTTGTGTGAAGTAAATGTCA